CATCCTACGTCGTTACCTGCCAGGCTGCCACACATGATCGAAAAGTCGACGGGCTTCTCGACCCCCACACAGCTACCCCCACCCCCCAGATAAGGCCCCAGGGTGGGGCATGTTAAACAAAAAAAAAAAATGTATTTGTTAATGATAACTTAAAATTACTTAGTATTATTTCACTTGCTCAGTTTCACTACACAAACAAACATGGAAGCAGGAAGGGAGGGAGGGAGGGAGGGAGGGAGGGAGGGAGATCCTGTGTCCTTCCCCACAAGTATAACGAGCTTGTCAGGAAGGAAATAAGCTCAATTTTGGGACACAAAAAAATCTACGCACACAAATCAGGAAGGGAGGGAGGGAGGGAGGGAGATTTCACAAGTATAATGATCTCTCATCAGCAAGGAAATAAAGCTCAATTTTGGGGCACAAAAAATCTATATAATATCAGAAAAAATTCATTTTGAGCCTCAACACTAACACGGAGTAGGAGAACACTCCCCACTGTCCCCAGGATGGAGCAAGGTCCCACTACAGTAGCAAACGGGATTGGATTAAGAGGCTGAACCTGGATGTGTTTTAAGCGGATATGCAGAAAAGCAGACCAAATAGTCTGTTCCTCGATTTTCTGCACCCCTCCCACAAGCACGTCCACATTCAGGCGCTCATAAAATCCAATCATCTTCGCTAGTGGAACTTCACCTGAGGATTGAGTTGCGCAAAACCGACCTCTTTTTTTTTTTTTTTTCCCTTCCTGGACAACTAGGAAATGCATAGAGAAAGGAGTCCTCCACCGTAAACCGCCAGTGTTTTTTTTTTTTGGCTGAACAATCAGGAAATGCATGGAGAAAGGAGTTCTTCACGGTAAACTGCCAGCACTCGGCCCAGCCTTGCAGAAAGAAACCCCCCACTCCCAAAACAAAATTGGGCAGGGCCACCGTTGACAAATTGCATCATCAAAAAAAAAAAAAAAAAAAAAAAAAAAAAAAAAAAAAAAAAGCATCAAATTGCATCAATGGTCTTCGTCAAGTTTTCGAGCCTCCAAAGTCACAGGGGCCCGCGGCCAATGTATGGCCGAGTACCGCTGGTCAAAACCCTCACAGAAATAGAAAGACAACCAAAAAAAAAAAGAAAAAAAAAAGATACCACCTTTGGCACTGCAGAAGAAAGTTGTAATTGAATCATTTCCATTCTCCGGTTAATTATTCTCTATTAAAAAAAAAAAAAGCTATAAATTCCACTCTCAGCTTAATTTGTTCTATTAAAAACCAAAAGCAAGGTTACCTTGCTCTGGTTAACTTTCCCTCCCTCATCAACCGGAGGACATACCATTTCTTTTTTCGTTTTTCGTTGTTCTTTTTTTCCCCCTCGTACGGCAACAGCCTTGAGATATCATCGTGAAACTGACCCCCCCCGCCCCCCTCACCCCCCCCTCCACCGTAATTCAGGAATTTTCAAGTCCCATCTGGTTGATTCCATGTGGATTAAAACTCAGTTGTCGTCTGCATTTCAACAGTTCTTTTTGTGGGTGTACTCGTTCGGTTTTGCGCTTATTGTTACACTCAAGAGGAGGTGTGGAAGAACAAAGGTGCTTGACTTTGTGCTCTCCCTATCCCCCCCCCAACTGTGTCTGCCCTTTCCCCCTTATCTGTGTTGACCCTACCCCCCTTATCTGTGTTGCCCTACCCCATTATGTCTGTTTTTCCAGCATCAATATATCACACTATACATTCTTATAATTTTATAAATGATAATTGGTATTATACAATTCCGAACTCCATTTTCCAATCTGATGATTCTTGAGGACTGCTGTGCAATTCTGCTGCCTGCTTTGTGGACTACATCTCAACCGCTCGTTTGTTGTCCTCTCCTCCCTCTCTGCCAATGTTTTCTTGGGCAGTTCTCTATGGGGAGAGAGAGAG